AAAAAAAAAAAAAAAAAAAAAAAAAAAGAAAAGAAGAAGAAAAAGAAATAGATCGCCTCGTTCTCGAGACACATTTGCCCACCAATACTGACGCCACCTATATGTACAATTTGTATCGCGTTTACGTTTCTCTATCGTGTACCGTATGTAGAAAGCACTTGTTCACGATGAAAATTGTTACAAAAAATATCTTAAGAATATACAGCGTAATCTTAATATCGTTCGTACGTTTCTCTGTCGACGTTATATTGCTGTTGCTACTACTGGACACTATTGGTACTTTCAATAGTATATATATATATATAATATATTTTGCCTGTGTTACGTGTAATGTTGTGAAACTAGATTGCGAATATTTATCTTATCGTGATTTGAATTTTCGTGAATTTGAATCTCAAAAACGAATCGATGGGGTTGACTTGTTTCGAACTCTGTACATTTTTCGTGACCCAATGAAAAATACATATAAAACACACAATCTAGTCATCAGTTAATTACCACTCGTACCTACAACTTGTATAAAAGTACCAAGTCTTTTTTTTTTTTCTTTTTATATGTACATATATAAAATTCCCTCTTTCTCGATCTAAAATTACTGCGCGTACAACGAAGAAAAGTAACAACGTGTCGTTATGTATTCTCACGTAACACGTGCAAAATACACATTAACGGCGATCGGAGTTACAAAAGAAACGCACCAAACATTACCAAAAATATCGTGTTGTCGTGATATATTATGTCGCCTCGTGGTCTCGAGGGCTACTAAAAGTGCAATCGACCGATTACTCTTTCCCTTTGTCTATGATTATCACTGACGAGGATGGACGAGTCGATTAATTGGTTCGTTTTCAACTGTGGTACGTGTCGTTCAGGCAATACAGCAACCGAGTTTAACCGCGGATCGTTGGTAACGTGTCAATCATCGTTCGGAACAAAGAGAAATCGACCGCATTGCTCAACGCGATCTCGGTCACGCAATACACAGGACGATATGTTGCTTCCTTTTTGACACTTGTGAAACATCATTGTGACTCACGTGAAATCCCGATCGTTGCCAAGATGCCTCCGCTCTCTTTAACTGGTAACTTGGATTGCACTGACCGACTGCTGTCGTTATCCCACGTGAAGGTTAACGCAAATGGTTCGTTCACCATTCACTCTATGCCAGGGTGCGCACGAACGAACGATAGAATTTGTTGAGAAAACTTCTGGAGAAACTTCGTTGATAATAATATCCAAATTCTAAGAGTATATTCTGTGAAGTATAATATATAGGATGATGAACGAATGAATAATTGAAAACTGAGATGTTGAGAAGTACAGTATCTTCAATCGAGTGTGTTAAATAGTTTTCGTTACGTTAGTGACGGAAATTATCTATGCTTGCTTAATTGAAAATGGACAAATCTTTCAGAAACTTTTCGACTAAATACCACTGTGTTCGCTCTTATCGAGGAATTCGGTCTTAATCGAATCGAAACTTGTTTCGCTTTACCGTCAGAATCTAAAGCTATGTACCTATGTTGTTATATATCGTGATGAGAACTTGATATTGTGCGAGTAAAAATTAAATTGAATATTACACATTATATTCCAAGAAGTAGAAAAGAGGTGGAAAA